TTTAACTCTCGGCTGGAAAACAGCAATTTGATAAATGTACTTTTATGGAAAAATGTAAATGATATGCTTAATTGTAGCCCCCGGACAAAGTTTGGTGGCTACTATGGATTCATGCTTGTCATCGCTGCCGCTGCGTCCGTAGACGCTTCCTTGTGGACGCTGTACAGGCTGTAATCTTTGTCCGATTACATTCATATTTGGTATGGAATTGTGTTATATTTAAGTTATGACCATAGACTGTATAAAAAGATGGACGAAGCAACCTTGACTTCACCTATTGGTTTCAGCATACCTAGTTGACGGGATTTTTGCTTTAGAGTTCGCATCTGGTCAGTGTACCATGGGGCTGGTCTCTTCTTCTGAGTAGCCTTTTAAATTTCTATGGGAGCATTAGCAAACTTATCTGCTATTTCGGAGTACAGATTAGCAACTTATAATCTGCCAAATTGGTAGAGCTTCAATACAGAGGGGCTGACTGGATAATCAAGATAAGTTGGTTTCTGATAATACAGGGAGGGCCAACTGTAGACAGGATGTTATAAGAAAATGGTCTGATAAGCTGGGATTGTGTGAATGGATGTCAACCTTGTCAATCTCAACACCAAAGCTTAAAATCAGGTCTAAAGTGTGACCATGAATGTGTGTTGGGCCGATGACACTCTGAGTGAAGCCAACCGACTCCACGAGATTAGTGAAGATGGATGTTGAAGAATCATCTACCCTCTCGAAATGCAGGTTAAAGTCACCCAAAATAACAATTCTATCATAGCTTAAAACTAATTCAGAAAGGAATTCCGAGAAATCATGCATGAAGCCAGAATATTGACCAGGTGGCCTATGGACCATCACCAGAGCAATAGGCTGAGCAGGGATGGAGTTCATACTTGAATCAAGCAATGAAAAATTCATTAAAAGTACCTCAAATGAATCAAATTTATGTTGCAGTTTTGGGCACTGAGTGAAAGGAGTCATTATCAAAAACAGCAACGCCCCCTCCGTTCCGGTCAAGACGGGGGTTATGAGTATATATAAAACCAGGTGGAGAAGCTTCATTCAAAGAGGAGTTTTCATCTGATTTCAGCCAAGTTTCTGTGAGGCATAGTACATCAAGACTATAATCAGAGATTAATTCGTTCACAAAAGCTGCTTTCGAGTTAAGTGATCTTATATTAAGTAGTCCAAATTTGAGAAAGGGTTTTGTATTCATACAGGTGTTGATATAGTTCATTTCAATGAAGGTCAAGTTATTGTGGATGACCCCACGATTCTTCTTTTTTGATTTTATTGGGATTCGGGGAACAGACAGTCTCTATTAAATTTGATCTAAACAATGATTTATCGAGACTAACTGTATTAAATGCCTGCGATCTAGATTTGATACTTGGCAGTCAATTGCACTGGTTTAAATTGTAGGCCAAATTTTTTTTTTTTTGACAAAAGGACGGTGCCCTCTCGAGAAGGATGAACACTGTCCCTCCTCAAAAGGCCAGGTGTGCGCCAGAAAGTTCACCAATTATCTATGAAGCCAGCGTTATTTCCTGCGCACCACTCGGACAACCAGCGATTGAGTGAATCTAATCTGCTGTACATTTCGTCACTACATTGGATCGGGTATGGACCAGAGACCGAACGCGACAGTTTCTTAGCTTGGGTGCAGACAGACTTAAAACCACTCTTCGTAATCTCTGTCTTAAGCGAACGTCATTTGTGCAGGCGTGGATAATAATTTTGGAATACTTGTGTTTACCCTTATCAAGTAATTTCAAATTTGCTTCGATATCTGTGACACGAGCGCCAGGAATACAGTTCACTGCAGTAGCTGGTTTAAACACCCTACAGGGCTTCCATTAGCTTTCCTTTCTCAGGGGTCCCGAAACCCATGAGTTTCTTTGTATGGGGGTCCTGATCCAGATTTGGGGGTCCCTGGCTCTCACTCAACAAGTTGTGCGCATCCCAACTTCGGCCATGACCAGAAAGTGTTGGTAGTGCGGTTATTTGGTGTATCTCCTCAAGCCATGTGATCACAGCTAGAGTGAGAAACATCAATTGGGGAATGTATACATTAGCTGCCCGCCAATAATCGATACAATGCATAAATACATAATCAAGAGTATTGGATTCAATACCTTGTGTGAAATGATCCTATTCTGATTTCATGTAATAATTGGGGAAACCAGTAATGTAACTGTCTTCTTTGTTAAAACCTCAGCAGCAAAACAAACATAACAGTCGTGAACCTACAGTATTCTGAACAAACTCTGTGATTGTTGGTCCAAACGATGAAATAACAGTTCCGACTTGTACACAAGCAGTCCCTGACGGCTAATTGCATCCTGCTTATAAGGACATATTTGACACTTAGCGCTTTCTAACAGAAAATTTCAATAATCGGTGGATAGCTACTACCCATGAGATACAGGTTTGGTATCACGCACGTGTGATACAGCATTCTTGCGTCACAGTTGGTCAGATATCCTCACTGGAAAATACAGTAACTTGGTAACTGATAACCATCACCAGCGTTAGTTTCTAGTTCGCGGTTTATTCGTTGAGATGAATAATTTGCTAGCGAGCACGCCAGCGGTTTTTGCCATTAAAGTTAAAACAACATATGTAATTGTAATTGTAGAAACTTGAATGTATTAGTTTAATGGTGAAATGTGTTGCCGTACTGGCTAGCGAATTATCATATTGATTTGAACAAATCCGTTTGAAATTTGGTTAGGTGGAACAATATTTCCTTCTTGAAGTTCTTGGTGTTGATGCAATTCTCCCCCCTAACCACAAGGACACGCACATTTGTTTCATCAGAGCCGGAAGGGTCTGTGTCAGAATTTTTTGGATTAGAAGCATTTAGTGCATGCATTATTTTGATAGCAGTAGGAGTACTGATTTGACAGGGTACAATTTTGTGTCCATACTGCCACATTACTATATTGGATTATTAGACATCATATACCTAGATGTAATTCCATTTGGTTCTTCACTTGGGAGAGGGGGAGTGCATTTTTAGTCAAATAGTGGAGCGTTCTAATCTGCGCATTTTTTTTCTGAATCCGTCACGGTCAGCGGCGGCGGCTTCTGCCTTATCTGTTCTATACCCCTCGCTTCCTAGTGATCCAAGCATCTGCGACTATGATGTGGTCTGGGTTCGTTTGGTGCCTCTTAATGCACTGATTTGCAAATTACGTGACCCTGGAGACACTAATGCATTCTGCTTCCCCATATCTGTGCACCATTTGCAGAGCCAAAATTTCCTTTCCACTATTATTTTTTCTAACCATGAATATTTGAATCGCCACTCTTCGCGCCAGCATCTATGCTTACGGACCTCGCTGGAAGTAGCTGATTTGGGGCTTGATATCTCTTGTGATTGGGAAGTACTCGCAGTAACATCATCCTCCTGCTTTTCTCCCCACAACTTTTTTTTTCCTAATTAAGTCGGTGATTTGGCTTTTGGTTTTACTTTAAACAGCGATATTTATTGCGAGACAAAGCAAAGGGTAGGCGAACTCAGACTCGGCTCATACATACTAACATTCAGTACAAATGGGAAGTATTAGTGGCATAGAGAAACAACGTAACTCACATTGATCTCTGATTGGTCCGTAGTTATTTTTATATGACCGGGAATGGAATGACTGGGGATTGCTGAGTGGTATAAAAGATCGCAAATTCTGCCGCATTCAGGGTAACTTGGCATTATTTTGATAAACTTGGGAAAATGGACAATGCTACTGAGAGTGGGTATTGCATTTTCAACGACAGAGAACCCAGCAAACAAAATAACGTCCCCAGGACGTCCTCTAATGGTCCCCTCCGAACGTCCTTGTGCGTCCCCAAAACTCACAGTCATGGCTCACTGTGCGTCCTGTGTGATTTTCGTGCGTATTTCACCCGAGGTCTCGGGTAATCGCGAGCCCTGACCCTAACATTTCTCACTATGGAATCACCGATAATTAGTGCGTTTTCTGGCACTCGTTCGTACAACTGTGGATCTTCGAGGGGAATGAATTAAATTGTTCAACAGGAGAGAGAGCAGATGGCTGTACACGTTTCTTTCCCCTCCGTTTACCTCTAACTGATACGAATGTGTCCTGCTGCGGGGACGCTACCGCAGCAGGCATGGAGTGGGAAACCGAAAGAGAACTAATATTAGCGCAACTATCAGGCTGGACAAAAAGAGTCAATGAACTCCTTATTGGTCCGAATATTCTGAAGAGTCTCAATGTGAGCTTCCAACTCCAGAACCTTTTCAGCTAAATTGGCATAAGCAATGCATTTCTTACATGTATAAGTGCCACTGAGGGTGGAAGTATCGTAACAAAACATACTGCATTCAGAACACAAGACGGGAAAAGAGGTCGGGGAACAAGGGGACACAGCCATAGTTGGTTACTTACGCTAGCTAGGTGCCGATGTGGTTTGTCAGGCCGAGTCAGTAGGTTGACCTCACGGGCGTCTTGATGGAATGGCGATCGGCGAAATTTGCGGGGGAAAATTCGAATTCCCAGGGAATCGGAAACTATAGTCTTAGGAAAGTTTATGAGGGTTTAAAACGGTTAATTATTTTAATATAAAAATTGAGGAATAAAAATGCTTGCACTGCAGGTGCTGAGAGACGATCATTTGCCAACACGAAGACAGGAAATGGGAAACATCATGATATATCGAAGGAGACTTGAAACTTGCGATACATACAGTAAAGTAATGTGGAAAATCATTATTTAAATAATAAATCCGGTGGGAAAGTTGGGTCATTTTCTCAGACTTCTATTGGATTGAACTTCTTTCTGCAACCACCGACGTCGCCATCTGCTGGCCATTAAATAGAATACAAATTTTGGAGATTTCCGCATTGGCCTCAGTTTTCAGACCTGAGTGCTGCATCCGTCTTTTTATACAGTCTATGGTTATGACACCTATGATCGATTTTGGTTGCCATGGCGACAGTATTGGCCAAATAACGTGCAAATTTGTGCTGAAATGTAGAGATAGGCGCCACAGTGGCGAAGTGGTTAGCATTATTGCCTCACAGCAAGAAGGTCGTGGGTTTGATTCCGGCCTGGGGCCTTTCTGTGTGGAGTTTGCATGTTCTCCCCGTGTTCGCATGGGTTTCCTCCGGGTACTCGGTTTCCCCACCCACAAAAACATGCATCATAGGAACACTCCTACCAGTACCCCTGACCAAGATACTGGCTTTAGAACTGGAGTTGGCCCCCGGGCGCTGCTCTGTGGCTGCCCACTGCTCCTCACTATAGGATGGGTCAAATGCAGAGGACAAATTACCCCACAGGGTTCAATAAAGTGTGTAAAATAAATAAATATTAGATTTCCTTGTGGACATAGTACAGGCTGGAGAAGCGGGCTTTCGGGAGCTACACCCGTGCAGTTGCAGGCGACCGGACTGTCGAGTTATTTTGAAGGTGTTCAGACATATGCATTTTTATACCTCGCAACAATGCAAAGAGGCAGGGTGGGGTATTACTGTAGAGCTCGTTTGTCCGTCTGTCCGGATAAGTGGGGACAAGTTTTCTCAGAAACTACTTTACCTCGATGCATACTGCTACTAGTCTTTCCTCTCGCTTCTCCCAGCTTCCACCCGCAAGCTGTACGAAAAAAAGCTCCAAAAGCTGATGGAGCAGGGCCCCCCTGAGTCTGCACCTCCACCTACCATGCCAGTGAAGATCGGCAGCAACCAGAATGGCAACACGGACTCTGATCAATACAGCGATAAAGAGGAAGGTGAGCCACATCAGTATGATGATTTGAGCATCAATTTCTACAAACTGCATAATTTGTGCATGCCTTTTCCTTTGCTTTGTTGGGCAACATGTTTCATCTGATATTTTTTTGATGTTGTATCTCATATCTATTTGATTATATCAGATTTTATTTGTTTTTATTCATTGATTCTGAAGCACTTTCTGAATGTTGTCTGTGAAAGGCACCATATAAATAAACTTTGCTTGCTTGCTTTGTTTTTATTCAAATAATGGCAAAGTCTCAAATTTGTACTGTTACTTTTGGATAAGGCTGTGCAATATTGAATTGCATTAAAAAATTTTTTTTTTTTTTTTGAGCAAAAGAAGACTAACTGCCACTGTGGGACATTTTGGCAATCTTCTGCCCTTTGCTTGAACCAAACCTTCGTACCTTCTGTAGTCTTGAACTAGGGCAATTCTACAGCAGAAAAGCTAAAAACATGAAAATTATCCTTAGCCCTACTGGAATGGAATGTTATTGGCTCAATACTAGGGATTCTGAGAAATTAAAAGCAAAAAGCTGTTCTTGGATATCTTAATTTGCTTTATTCTTCTGCTCCCATGAAAACATTCCCACTTTTTTGTCTGTTTCCATGAAGTCATTCGTGCATGTTTTCCTTAACACCATGTACTGTAAAAATACTGGAATTGCTTGTTTAAAATGGCCGTTTGATTTGTTCAAGGCTCATGATTTCTTATTCTGCCCTTCGTTTTGGCTACCTTGTTCATGGAATTCACACGGATGTTTGGAGTTTTACTCCTTTTCGTGACAATTCCATTACCGTAAATTGTGAAGTAAATCTCTGTGTCAACTTATTTTTAATTTAGAAGAAAGTCCTTTAAGATTCTCCTCATTATGTGAGCCTATGGTGATTCCGTTACCAGTTTGTAATTCCGTTACCACTGACTTGTCTTCTTTGAACAGACTATTCATCAGTAGTTATATTTAACCAAAGCAAAGCCCATTGTCTAAAGGCTATATGATAGGCTCTGAGAAATTTGAGTGCCATTTCACTACTATGCAGACTCTGCATCCAAATGAGCAAGATGGCAGCATCCGTATGAAGGATATTTGGTCTCCATTTTTGTGCAGCGCTGGGAAGTGTTGACAGGTCGTTCATCTTTAAAGTCTATGGTCTGTAGAACATGACCAAGACATGAAAAAAATTCACGCAACACTTCCTGAATCCTCTTCAAAGTAAAAGCCCGATTCTGTGGACATAATCCCATCATTTGTTAACCACATGGTGTTTTGGAAAATTTTCAGACTTGCACAGCTCCATAGCAGAGTACCTACTCAATTTTACTTGAAAAACGATAGTCATGAACCCTGCGTATGCTATAATGGACAACCTTTTCACATTAGGCCTACTTTTCTCTTAAATTGAATTTCAAAGAATTGAGAGTTGACTGGGGCTGCGCCACTTATTTTTCAGTTTTTATTCAAATGCATAGGGCTTAAAGTTCTCCGGCACCCTGCCGGATTTCCGGCGTGAGGAGATTTTCCAGCGCGAGCCCATCAGGCTTTTTTTTTTTTTTTTTTTTTTAATGTGAGCTGAGTTTTCGATGTGTAACCGTTTATCCAATCACATTAAACGCTGTTTAGAGGCTGATAAAACTGATTAAACTAATTCTAAACCAATAGCATGTGAGTATTTCACGTTACTAGGCAATAGAGGCAGAGCGGGGCACGTATTTTTTTTCCAGGCGAGTACAGGGCTAATTACGATAAATAGATGTGTCTATTGAGCTGACACTTGTTGCGCATGCGCGATATAGTCGTCGGTCTTACACATGGACTGTATATAAATTATATACAGTTCATTGTCTCACATGCTTACATGCTCAACATCCAGATGGGGGACAGATATAAGTATAGGAAAGGATAACACATCCTCAGAGAGCTGGGACGCAGCCCAACTCTTAGCATCCCATCCATGTTTTTGCCATTTTGGGCAGACATGGGCCTACATGACGACTGAGCAAAACTCGGGATGTCCCATCTTGCCACAGAGCAGGAACATTCACATCATCTTAAGCTGTACAATTCGAATTAGAAAAAAGAAAGGGGAGGGAATATTGGCTGAAGATACTACAAAACCCAAAACCAGTGAAGTTGTACGTTATGTAAATGAATACACTGCAAAGACAAGATGTTTAATGTTCAAACTGAGAAACTTTATTTTTTTTTTTTTGCAAATAATCATTAACTTACATTTAAAGGCAGCAACACATTGCAAAAAAAAAGTTGGCACAGGGCCTTTTTACCACTGTGTTACATCACCTTTCCTTTTAACGACATTCAGTAAACGTTTGGGAACTGAGGAGACCAATTTTTGAAAACTTTTCAGGTGGAACTCTTTTCCCATTCTTGCTTGATGTACAACCAAGTTGTTCAACAGTCCGGGTCTCCGTTGTCGTATTTTACGTTTCATAATCGCCACACATTTTCAATGGGAGACAGGTCTGGACTACAGGCAGGCCAGTCTAGTACCCGCATTTTTTACGGAGCCATGCTGTTGTAACGCGTGCAGAATGTGGCTTGGCATTGTCTTGCTGAAATAAGCAGGGGCGTCCATAAAAAAAGCGTTATGGATGGCAACATCGTTGCTCCAAAACCTGTATGTACCTTTCAGCATTAATGGTGCCTTCACATATGTGTATTGGGCACTAATACACACCCATACCATCACAGATGCTGGCTTTTGAACTTTAGCCTATAACAGTCATGGTTCTTTTCCTCTTTGGTCCGGAGGACCACGCGTCCACAGAAAAACAATTTGAAATGTGGACTCGTCAGACCCTGAACACTTTTCCACTTTGCATCAGTCCATCTTAGATGAGCTTGGGCCCAGCGGCCGGGCATCCTCTGGGTGCTGTTGATAAATGGCTTTAAGTCTGCATTGTAGAGTTTTAACTTGCACTTGCAGATGTAGCGAATTTACTGTAGTTACTGACAGTGGTTTTTCTGAAGTGTTCCTGAGCCCATGTGGTGATGTCCTTTACATGATGTCGGTTTTGATGCAGTACCGCCTGAGGGATCGAAGGTCACGGGCATTCAATGTTGGTTTTTTTGGCCTTGTAAAAAGCAGTGATTTCTCCAGATTCTCTGAACCTTTTGACGATATTAACCGTAGATGATGAAATCCCTAAATTTCTTGCAATAGCTCGTTGAGGAATGTTGTTTTTAAACTGTTCTCAGCTCAAGTTGACTAAGTGGTGACCCTATCCTTGTTTGTGAATGACTGAGCATTTCAGGGAAGCTGCTTTTATACCCAATCATGGCACCCACCTGTTCCCAATTAGCCCGTTCACCTGTGGGATGTTCCAAATAAGTGTTTGATGAGCATTCCTCAACTCTCTCAGTCTTTTTTTGCCACTTGTGCCAGCTTTTTTTTGAAACATGTTGCAGGCATCAAATTTTTAATATTTGCAAAAAATTACAAAGTTTACCTGTTCGAACATTAAGTAACTTGTCTTTGCAGTGTATTCAATTGAATATAGGTTGAAAAGGATTTGCAAATCATTGTATTCTGTTTTTATTTACGATTTACTGAAACTTCACTGGTTTTGGGTTTTGTATTTTAAACAATCTAATTCATTACCACGTACTTTTATGGCTCAATCGCGCCTTTAAAAGCAGAAACAGATTTTCGCAAACCAAGGCTAAATCCCGATCGAGTAATACTGAACCACTGAGGCAATAATTTTATTACAAGAGAAACACTCTAAAAAATAATTAACAGCAAATCGAGTACTGGACACATCTGTCATAATGCTAAACGCTTTAGTACTGGCGAGGCAATACGGCGACTTATTTCCAGTCGGGGATGTGAATGTGATTTTCAGAGTGTTCCCAAGAAATGAAAGTAGCAGGTTAATTTAAAAAAGTAGCCAGTTAAGAATTACATGTGGCGCCACACCGTTACTCGGCCTGTAGGAGGGTCCTTAGGTATGCTTATTTCTTTTCTTTTTTTTTAAAGGTGCATTTTGGCGCATTCTACTGCACTTTAGACGGCCTAATGCAAGTATTTTTCAGTGTAAAATGTTAGGATTTTCTGGTCAAATTTCAGTTTTGTTTTTTTAAGTTGAATCTCCATTATCAATTAAGCGACATGCCTCTATTTCAATCACAATACTAACTAGCGCCATAAACACCCTAACATTTAGTACTATAAGCAAGCATAAATTAACTTGAACATCACATCAATTATTTCTTTGAAGCATTTATTCTATTTTATGATTATTTATTCTTTATCTTACAATGGTAACTTATCTTATGCTGTAGTATAACATATATATAAAATA